ATGATTAGCTATCTATAAGGAAGCTTCACAGATCTCATTTATCCCAAAGTAGCTTATCTTACCTACCACATCAGCACCTGGAACAAATTCAAAAACATGGACAGAAGTATGAAAAGCCTCTTGGTAGCCAAAATAGACGTGGAAAAGACCAGGGCCTTTACTCATTCCTAGGAGAATCCTCACCCAAGGACTGTCTGTTCTTAGTTGAAACCCAATTCTAACAGACCCATGGCAGATTGAAACAGCTGGAGGAGGGAGAGGGGGTACTATCAGAGCTGGGCTTCTTAACCTTTTTTTGTACCATGGTCCTTTTGGCAGTCTGGCGAAGCTGAGACAGACCCCTTCTCTAAAGAATATTTTTCTTTTTTCTTTTATGTATTTATGTATTTCCTGTATGTGTTTATTTACTTTTAACATTTTTTTTTTAAATTTTGAGTTCTGAATCCTCTCCCTCACTCCTGCCACCCCCCACCCACTGAGAAGGCCTGCAATATGATACCCATTTAAATAATATTTTAATGCATAAAATAAAGCATGGAGGATTACAAAGAAAACCAGTTATATTGAAATAATAACCAAAAAAATTTCAGACATATTTTTCAGAAGCATAGAATCAACCAATCGACAAGAACTTATTGAGCATTCATATGCTAAATGTTTGGGGTACAGAGACAAAAATGAAATGGTTCCTGCCCTCGGGTAGCTTACATTCTAGAGGATGGTGCAACTCACACCCATAAAAGTGTATACACTAAATAAATAACATAGGTCATTGCAGGGAAGGAGATATAGCAACTGGGGCATCAGAAAAGGCCTCTCGTAGATGTGGCAGGTGAGCTGAGTCTTGAAGGACACTCGGTACTCTTTCCATCTGCCATGAACTGAACACAAACATGGACCTTTATTTATGTGCTGTCTCCATCATTCAGAATGGGAACCCTTTGGGAGCAAGGGCTGTCTTGATTCTCCATTTGTATCGTCATTGTTTAGCCCAGCACTCGGCACATGGTAAATATTTTATAAATGCCTTTCCATTCTCTGAGGTAGAGAGGAAGACGGAACGTCTTCGAGACAGGGGAGACAGTCTGCAGCAGAGGCATGGAGGTCCAGAGCGACAGAGTGTCATGTGTAAGCAATAGGGAGAAGGCCAATTTAGTTGGGTTGTAGAGTATGTGGAAGGGAGTTGTACCATTACATATGAGCCTAGTAAAAAAACCACACAGGATTATAGGATTTAGGGCTGCCCAGGACCGTGGCAATCGTCTGGTTCCCCCTCTCTCCCCTCCAGTTTTACAGATGAGAAAGCAGGGAAACTAAGTGACCTGTCATACAGACTGGGCTGGAGCCTAGGTCTTTGGACTCCCAACTCTTTGCATTCTCTTCCCTTCGTGGCCCTGACTCTGTGTATGTTTTATGGTTCAGACTCAAGTCTATCAGAGTTTTCACTTTGATTTTTTGGATTCATCTGAAGCGTAATCCTAGAGAGACCTTGTCCTCTTGGGTTCTCAGACTTCCTTCTTGTTTGGAGTGAGGGTTAGTCTGAGGACTCATGAACGAAGCTCATAGGCCTGTGGATCTATGGCTGGAAGGGACCTCTGGGGTCCAACTGCCTCCTTTTGCAGGGGAGGAGACTGAGGCCTGAAAAGGTTGGGTGACTTGCCCAAGGTCACACAACTATTAAGTGGCAGAGCCAGGATTTGAACCCAAATTTCAAAGTCAGGATTCTCTCCACAGAGACTGAGAGGGCTTGATAGTAGGAAACATTCAGCCTCTCCCCACTCCCTTACTGAAGCCAGGGAGGGGATAGCTTTGCTCACCTGAAGCTACCTTTAGTTGGGGAAAAAGCATATTGTTGGAAGGTTTTGAGAGGAGGTGAACTTGATCATTACATTAAAAACCCCATGATCACACACAGTGCACAGAGAGTGCCTTCTTACCAGAGGGCAATACTCATCTACCGGAAAAAGAGGGAAGTGAGGATCCCTCACTGATATTCACATCCACCCTTTCCCTTTTCAATGGTCTCCATTAATTCCTTATACCAAGTTCAGTCCAGCATAGGAGGGGATATTAGAACAATATCAATAATTATTCATTTATTTATTCCATAAATATTTACTGGGCATCTATCGTGTACCACGGACCTAGATAAGACACCAAAATGGGGAAAAGCTCTTCCTGGGGCTTACAGTCTAGTAGGGGAGGCAAAACAGGTGTAGGAATAATATCAGTAATAATAGTTAACATTTATATAGCACGTAACATGTGCCAGGAACTGTGCTAAGTACTTTACAATTATTATCTCATTTCAAACTCACCCCAGCCCTTCCGGGAAAGAGTTATTATTATCCTCATTTTACAGATGAGGAAACTGAGGCAGAGATTAAATAACTTGCCCAGAATCATATAGCTAGTGAGTATCTGAGGGTAGATTTGAACTCAGGTCTTCCTGGCTCTAGGCCCAGCACTCTGTGCACTATTTCACCTTCTAGCTGCCCCAAATTATAGGAACAGTTCATGTATTAATCACCCCCCATTTCTATAGGGCTTTACAATTTACAAAGTGCTTCCCTCATTTTATGAGAGAGAAAATCCGAGCAGAATGATTTCTGACTTTATAGAAGAGGAAACAGAGGCACAGAAAAGGTTAAGTGTCTTTCCAAGGATCCTACAGCGCATAGTGGAAAAAATATTGACTTTGGAGTCAGAGGGCCTGGGTTCCAATTCCACCTTTGATCCTCAGGCATGTCATTTAAACTGCCCAAACCCTCAGAGAAGTTGTAAAATGAAGAAGTTGGACTGCATGGTCTCTGAGCCCTCTTCTGTCTAGCCCTGGATCTGTAATCCTAGGCGTTAGAACTCAGACTCAAATCCAGGACTTCAGACCTTGGTTCTCTCTTAAGAAGAAGGTGGAAGTGTAGAGGTGTGAACAAAGCCCTTCTGGAAGGAACAGGTTCCTTCTGGGTTTAAGGGAGGGGAGGAATCTGGGAAGTCTTCATGGAGGAGGTCCAGTGTAAACCGAACCTGGAAGCATCAGTAGGTGTTGGACAAGCGGAGGTGGGGGCAAGGAGAATGGAGGAGAAAGAGTATCCCAGGCACCTGGCTGGCTAGAGCCAGAAGATGTGCTCGCAGATGTTTAACAACCAACTTTCCAAAAGAAATGTGCCCACAACACACTTCTAAGTTTACTTTGCATTATTAAAATTTTCTCCATCACTTTCTTGAGACTAGGCAATCAATAGCTCTGATTTGTAGCATTTGCCAACTTCTGTGGTGTAAATGCTCATGCTGAAATTTAATAATCAGCTCCAGAACTTGTAAAAACTTGTAGCCACACACTCCTGGCTGGAGTACTAATAGAAAATAAGACTCGTAGGTTGAAGCCAAGTTGTAAAGGGCATTGGCTATCAGACTAAGGAATTTGAATTGGATTTTGGAATTTGGAATTTGGATCCTATAGGTACAGGAGACCATTGAAGGATATTGAGCAAGTGGGCGGTGATGGAATCATAGCAGTGCCTTAGGATAATTGAGCTGGGGGCAGCTAGATGGTGCAGTCAATAGAGCACTGCCCCTGGAGTCAGGAAGACCTGAGTTCAAATCCAGTCTCAGACACATAATACTCACTAGCTGTGTGACTCTGGGCAAATCACTTAACCCCAATTATCTCACACACAAAAAAAAGTTTTGGGGCAGCTAGGTGGTGCAGTAAATAGAGCTCTGGCCTTGGAGTCAGGAGGACCTGAGTTCAAATCCGGCCTCAGACCAGACACTTGACACTATCTGTGTGACCCTGGGCAAGTCACTTAACCCCAAATGCCTCACCAAAAAAGCAAAAAAGAAAAAAGAAAAAAAGAAAAGAAAAGGATAATTGAGCTGGTAGCACGTGCCATAGACTGGTCCAGACCTGGGAGAGATTGGAGAGAGGACAACCAATCAGGATATTTTATATGCATTTCTTGTTTACTGCAGACTTTGGGAGGTGATACTCTGAATCTACCGATTGACACCCCCAAGCAAACCTCTCTGATCCCTGAAAAGTCCATCAGGAAGGTTGCTGTGCACCTGATAAGGATTCCTCTGACCCCATCTTAACCCAACTCATAGATTTAGGCTTCAGGGCCCGTGAAGTGAAGGGAAAAGTCAAAGGAGGGGTCTTTTTTTATTTTGCTTTTCCTTGGTTTTTCCGTGTTCCTTCCACATGTGTCAGCCTTCCAGGTGCAAATACAGGTGGGGTGGAAGTCTTCAACCAGTCCACATTGTGGAGGCAGCTAAAATTAGCAGCTGAAAACATATACCTGAGCAAAAGGAAGCAGCACGCATTGGCCTGCCCCCTCCCTCCTAGCACTATCTTTCTTCCCAACTGCTGCCCACTGACCTTGGATTTCCAAAGGGGTTCTTGGGAAAAGATGGTTTTCTGGGACCTCTGCTCCCAGTATATAGACCCTATCTCCTCTTGATAGAACTGGATAGGTTAATGGATTAGATTTGGAATGGGGGACACTCCTTTTTTCTATACAATTCAACTGAAATGCTGTTTGTATCTTTTATCAGGAAGGATCTCAATATCCACCAGTTTGTGTCTTCTACACCCCATAGTCCAAGGGTTTTTAACCTGGGGTACACAGTATTAAAAATATTGTGATAACTGTATTTCAACATAAGTAATTTCCTATGTATTCTATGCCTTTAAAAACATGATCCTGAGAAAGGGGTTCATAGGCCTCACCAGATGGCCAAAGGGAGGGGCCATGGCACAAAAAGGGCAAAGAACCCCTGATCTAGCCCCCAGAGGGTGTCTGGGAGAATGTCATGTCACCCAGCCACAGAGACTTCGGGGTTTGTGCAGCATTTAATGATGATGATGATGATGATGATGATGAACAACTAACATTTATATAGCACTTACCATGTCTACTGTACTATAACAATAATTAACATGTATGTAGCACTTACTGTTACTTATTATATACTTTGTTCTTTTATCACAAACCATTCAGGGCCCTCCTGTTGAAGAGATCGTGTGCCAAACACCATCTATTGTCCTGCCTGGGGATGAGGATGCTGTCACGCCAGATGTAGAGAATGATAAAAATCTGGTGAGCAGGTACTGTGCCTTCCCCAGATTCCCCTGTCTCTGCCTAGGTATGGAGGGAGAGTCTTTCAGGTGATAGCCCACCTTGATGTACAAAGGCAGGGATGGGCAGAATCAGATCAGGAAACAGTAAATCAAATTCCACAGCCTGAAAAAAAGCCTTGTCATTGTGCGGAAAGAGTGGTGCCCTGGGAGTCTGAGGGCCTCGGTTCAAATTCTGACACTTCTGCTTACTACCTATGTGATTTTGGACAAATCACCTCCTCATCTGCTAAATGATGGGGTTGGACTGGATTGATGACCTCCAAGGTTCCTTCCAGTTCCAATCTATAGGGCTGTGAACAGGCCCATTGCCTGGCTAGTTAGGACAGTCAAGTGATAAGAGTGGACAGAGTGGATCGAGTGCCAGGTCTGGGGTCGAGAAGACCCAATTTCAAATCCAGCCTTGGGTACTTACTAGCTGTATGCCCTTGGGTAAGTCACTTGACCTTGATTTTGCCTCAGTTTCCTCATCTGTAAAATGGAGATCATAACAGCACCTACCTCCCAGGGTTGTTATGAGGATCTAATAAGGTATTAATCGTAAAGTGCTTAGCATAGTGCCTGGCACATATTAGGTACTCTATAAATATTAGCAACCATTATTATTATTTGCCCATGAATGGAGAGATGAGAAAATCTCCTATCACTAATACTTACAGATTGTAAGTCAGCAAAATATTTAACCTTTCTCAGTCTCAGTTTCCTCATCTGCAAAATGGGGGTGGTAACAACTGTAGTATCTATCTCAAAGAACTGTGAAGGGGCGAAGATGAAATATGGTGCCTGAAGCCCAATATAAATGTCAGTTTTAAATACTGTTAACTTAGCTTGCCACAGACCGCCTGGTCCAGAGCCACTTCCTCTCTTTTCCCTTTCCGATCACAGTAGGTCAGGTTCAGGGCTCTCACCTTCACATCAAGGTGTCTTGTTAGCCTGACTCTGGCTTGAGTGACTCCTTTCCACTGGACTCCTTCACCGTTGGAGAGATTCTATCTTGCCCTGGAATGATAAAGAATTCAGAATTCCCTGTGACTCTATTTGTAGCCCCTCCTTGGCAGCCCCCAGGGTGGATTGTCATGACCACAGGGGTAAGAGCAGGCATGGTTTTGTCCCCTTTCCTTCCTCCCTTAACTGGACACTCTATTTTCCAGACCACGCAGCCCTCGTCACCGGCTTTCTAACCGACACATGAAGGCTTCCCTTACATCTCTGACATCTGTGGGTAAGGAGTGCTTCAGCTGTGTGGATGTCTGTACCGCTTAAGCCTTTGGTTTGCCCATCTAGGGAAGAAACCAAACAGCAAAAAGGCCCGAGCAGGTGTTGAGCTGGACACGGTGGCCGGCTGGACCAGTTGTGGTATGGCTAGAAGTTACACCTATGGGTCCCAGCCCAACTTCCACCTTCTTAACCCAGGGCTTATGCAGCCCTGCTTATCACCTCTTTTCAGTCCCTCACAAGGGAAAGGTGATGCACAAATACAAAGAAACACCACACTAGTCATGACATCAGGCTTTCAGGGTTGATGGGAAAATTGGGCAGCCCCCGTGAACTCTGACCTTCTGATTAACCAGTAATCAAGGGAATCATTTGGAGGTTTCTGAAGCCTTTCCCCAAAGATTAAAGGATGTTTTTCCTTTAAGTCATCCCAGACTCGAGAAAAGAACACTAAGGAGATGGGGCCAAGTACAGAGAGACTCCCTGGAGGTTACTCTCCTTCAGGTCAGAATCTAAGGTAGTGTAAGAAGCAGGTGGCTAATCAGATACCTGAGAAAGAAAAAAAAGAGGAGGAGGGGGAGGAGGAGGAGGAAGAGGAGGAGGAGGAGGAGGAGGAGGAGGAAGAGAATAGGTAGGAATTGACAGAACCTAAAATCCTCAAGGTAGGGAGGTCTGTCCTCTTCTTTTGGTAGAGAGCAGAGGTGTCAAACTCACAAGGGCAGCAAAACTCCATAGATTAAAGTGTAATTGGGAAATATTTAGCAAAATAAGTAAAAATGTAATACAACATAGATAATGTGAAATTGTGGTTTTCTAAGTCAATATTGTGCCAGTAGGGATCTGTTTCTATTTGAGTTTGACTCCCCTGGTGTAGAGTAAAGACACCGCACTTCCCACACTATCTATATGACTTTGGCAAACCAGCCCTGAGCTCCATGGGTTTCTATGCATGGTGTAGTCAAACCAGCACTGGATTCAGGTGGAGAAGACCTGAGTTTACATTGCTACTCTGTGGTCATGGAAAAGTCCATTCCCTTCTCTGGGCTTCAGCTTCGTCCTTTATAAAATGAAAGGGGTTCTCAAAGGGAGTGTTGTGAGCCTCTTGAGGTGTTCCTTGAAGGCCCTCCCCCTGCCCCAGGCCCTGCCCCCCACTGCAGTTTACTGCCTGCCCTTCCCTGTTTGACGTCAGGAAAGTTGCAGACCCAATAACGGGAGATGCAAAGCAGCCTTCTGGGGAAAAAAGAAAGAAGAGGATGAGAGGCAGAGGGAGGGAAGGAGAGACAGAGGAATCCTACGGGCCAGGTAATAGGCTTGGAGACTCACCGGCCGGGGAACCCTGCTCTGGAGCTAATTTTAAACGTTCATCATACAGTGTCATTCCTAGGGCAAAGAAGCAGCCTTGGGGAGGCAGTGACCTGGACCATAAACTGGAAGCTGGAAGGGCCGTTCGAAGTCTTCTAGTGCAATCCCTTCATTTCGTGTCCCTTCTCGCTCTAAATCCCATTGGCCTACATGATACGTGCCCCCCCATGCCCACCTTGTGGGCCTGAGCTGGGCCAGGGAGGAGGGAGGCAGAGCCGGGAGAACAGACTCCCAAGCTAAGCGGGTGGAATTTTCAGGGGCTGGGTGAGAAAGGGCCTGGTGCTCCCAGGAAGAGCCTGGAAAAAGGGTAGCTCCCTCTCAGCTTCCCCACCTTTCACCATCTCTGCCACGTCACGCACTCGCTTGCCATAAACTTGCTGCCCCCAGACAACGCAGGCCACATCATCCATCTGGTGAGTGACCAGCTGCCAGACATCAAAATCTCCGAGGAAGATAAGAGGAGGAACCTCGAGCTTCTTGAGGAGGCCAAGAAAGTGAGTGAGCGTTTCCTGACCAGGAGGGGCAGAAAGTCCAGGAGCAGCCTGTCTGATTCCCCTTCAGGTAGGAGGGAGCCCGTGGCTAAGATGGGCCCACTGGGGCCAGGAGGGCCCGGGGAGCGCCTCTGAGTGCAGGCTACATTCTGGGGGCAGTCTGGTCACGGCCCTTACAAAGCTGGGAGGGTTTTTTAATTCAATTAAAATTTTAAAACATAATCCTAATGTAATTTTTCAATTAGCAAGCATTTATTTTCTTTCCCTCCCACCTGTCCCCAATTGAAATGAAAAAGAAAAGCCTTATAACAAATACTTATTGTTAAGAAAACAAATCGGGAGGTGTTTCTGAGGGGGGCTTTCTTTACCTTGGCAATACACAAAGCCTGCCCGCCCCCACCTCCCGAACTTACAGATCAACCTGGCGAATTTTACCTATAAAGACAAATGTGGCAGAACTGTTGCAGCCTGACTGGAATTCTCTCTACGTGGTATTGAAGTGAGAAGACCCTCTTTCTGAGGTTCATTACAGAGCAAAGCTGGCTTGGACCTCTTCAGATCTCCAAGACAAGGCAGCAGTTGGAAAAATCACTTAATTTCTCATTCTGAAAGCTACCTGGACTTTGTGACATATCTCTATGGCCCACCAAGCTGCTGCCTTACCCATTGTCCTTCCTTCTGAATGTTCCCCTGTCCCCACCCCCACCCCTCCTCATCATGTTACTATGTCCCCTCTCAGCAGCAGCTTCTATGTCTCAGAACCAGGTCCCAGCCCTACATTTTGCCTGGACAGGGCTCCTAGGCCTGGCGTAGAAATGGGAGCCCTCGTGTTCATCGCTTTGTTTCTCCTGGCCTCAGTTTCCTCATCTGTAAAATTAGGGAGTAAATTTGTAAAATCAGTAAATCTGTAAAATTAGATGCTCTTTAAAGTTCCTTTGAGAGAGAGTGAGAGAGAGAGAGAGAGAGAGAGAGAGAAGAAATGAAGCAGCCCCTGCCCTCAAGGAACTTATATTCTATCTGGGGAGACAACATGTAAATAAATGAGCATATACTCTGTGTATGTATGTGTATGTGTATATATACAATATAATACAAATATGAATGTGCGTGTATACACGTGTGTGTTTAAACATGCATATACATATGTGTAATGTATACATGCTCTGGTCTGTCCCAGTGAGAGGCTGATGTGGCTTTGGATGTTTGTTTCTGCAGCCATTTCACCGAACCTCAGTCCTGGGGCTTCTCCTGCAGTGTCCCAGAGCAACTCCCTGAGCAGCCCACCCTCACCACCAGGTAAAGTGAACCCAGTGTCTAACGCAGGGCTTTGTAACTCCCTGTGCCCGGCCTCCAGCCTGCCAAGCTGCTCACTCTCACCTACGGGATGAGAAAGAAGTTTTCCTGTCCTTCTCCTCTGGGTGCCCCGGCCACGATCTCCTTCTGGTTCCACCCTGCCCCACCCCAGCTTCAGATTCCAAGGCAGATTATGAATGGTCCGCTGACTCCTGCTTTCAGCAGGGGCTCCATTTGAGGAGGGCACACGAGGGAGGCTGGCCATGGATCAGGCCTGGGGTGAGAAGGAGCCAGTGGCATTGGAACAGGTCATGGAGATAATTGGGATTAGCCACGGCATGGTTTCACCAGACCAGAGATAGTGGGTACAGTGGATAGAGCACTGGATTGAGTTAGAGACCTGGGATTGAATCCTGCCTGGACACTTACTAGGCTAGATGTGTGACTGGGAGCAACTCAAGGAAACTCTCTGAGCTTCACCTTCCTCATTTCTAAAACGAAGTTGGACAAGGTGGACCTCTAAGTCCCTTGAAGCCTTAAACATCTGGCCCTGTAATCTCTTCTTCAGACCCAAGGGCAGGCAAGGAGATGGCCTTCCACGGTCTCAGCTCTTTGACACCACGTGTGTAGATGGACCATACATGCAGATGAGGAATCCAATTTTTGTCAGAATGGGGAATTCCCCTTTATCTATGCTTTAGCACATAATAATAACAATGTCAACAATAAGCAACCCTAAGGGTTGCTGGAGGAGTTTGAGCTCATCTCCCCCATTAGAATGGAAGCTCCTTGAGGACAGGGACCATCTCACTTTTGTTTTATATCCCCTGCACCCATCAGAGTGGCTGGCACATGGTAAATACTTAATACTTGCTTTTCATTCATTCATTCATTCAGCTTAGGGTCACCATTCACTCATTCAT